AGTGGAAGGCATAAAAGCATGTCTGAATCTCACCCACTTCGTCTTTGACTCAGTGGTTTATACTCAAGAACAAGGCCTAGCAATGGGATCTCCAATATCCCCGATTTTGGCAAATATATTTATGGAAGAATTTGAACAGAAAGCTTTAGCCGGATTCCCATACCCACCAAAGATATTCTGGCATTATGTAGATGACACTTTCGTCATGATAAGACGGGATAAGGTTAGTGAGTTTTACGATCATCTCAATGAACTGAGTCCACACATCAAATTTAGTGTGGAGACAGAGTCAACCTCGGGTAAACTGGTCTTTTTAGACTGCATGACACATACGGTCGGGGAAAACTAAAGACCAGAATGTGCGAAAAGCCCACCAACACTGGGGCAGTTTTAAACTACTCGTCTGCCAGCCGAAGTCAGCTATCGCCAGTATTGCCTCATCAATGTTTAGGCGTGTAAGGGCCCTGTACACAGAAGAAGCTGATCGAACAGCGGCCCAAATTGAGGTAAAGAACAAATTTCGGGGTAGTGGATATCCAACCAGCTTGATTAGGCGTCAATTCCGAAGGGTGTTGGTCCCGGTATCGAAACCCAACAGGGAATGGATCGGGACAGCTGTTATTCCATATAAACCAGGGACATCTAAGGTAATTCGAAGAATTCTAAACACGGACAACATTAGAGTAGTTTTCCAGAGGGGGGATACTCTGCGCTCCGCACTGGTGCAATTGAAGAATCGCCTCCCGGCAAACAGAACCAGGGACTGTGTCTACAAAATCAAGTGTAATGACTGCACCAAGGTCTATATAGGACAGACGGCCAGGGAACTACACATCAGAGTCGGAGAGCATAGTAGAAAAATAAACAGGCCACCGAGAAACGCAGATGAATATCAAGCGTTACTGAGAGATTCGGCGATTGCGGAACACACACTCGGCACGGGACACAAAACAGATTAGAAAATGTTGAGGTCTTGAGGCGAGGACTACGGTCCACGTCACACAGACTGATAGCCGAGGCGGTAGAAATCGCCAAGCATTCCATTGTTAACAGAATAGGTGTTGAACTGGCAAGCGTGTGGAGAACGGTTCTGGATCAGTCGAGCTGACACGTGTTGGTGTGCGGTCATCAGAAGGAAGAGTGGATTCCACTTGACCTCAAGCCCGCAAACTAAATTGTCGGAGCACTCAAGACCCCACAAAAACCAGGGTAAATCTACCAGTGACAACCGAAGTGAATCATCAACTGATGCACCCTGAAGTGGAAGATTAACGAACCAAACCCGATCAGAATTAATTTACCTCGCCCCCTCCCCAATCCACCAAAGCAAGATTTTGACTTCACTAACCGACAAGAGCCGTAGTTGACACTCAACACTGATCTAGTGTGATAATCTGAAGAGGGCTGACTTACTGATTGGTTCCCTGTCTGCCTTATAACCTGGCCAATTTGGTGACCTGCTCACTTGGCCTGATCAAGCTTTTGCTTCAAAAGCGAAACGTTGCCGAAATAAAAACTACCGATTGTTTACCAAGCTGTTCTGAAACGATGACTTCTCAATCGGTTCCAAACTTTTTCCAATTGATAGGAGACAACTCTCTTTCGAAAATTCGAGATGTAATTAGGGAAATCGACTGCGGTTGTATAGGCAAGTCTCCAAGATGGTAAAAATAGACCAAAAGCAGGCTGGAGTTTGTCCAAGTTATTTGACTATGCTGACGTTGAACACTATGGTGTCGAAGCAGTTTTCGCGCTCGCCTGAACTACCGGCTTCGATCACTGTGACCGGAAGCATAGGACTGCGCTGGTAACACGGGGCGCAGAGAAGAATAAAGAGTATTGTTTTTTGAGATGTTACCCGGTTGCCAAAACCGAACTGGCAGGTAGGTTTTAGTGACCGCGCCTGGACACTTCGATCGAAGAACCTAACCCACAACGCAGTGAGACGAACCAGCGAGCCCGCAATTCATCTGGAGCCGATGCCATGCCCTTTAACTGGCGTGGGATGCCGAAGCATAGGCGCTGGTAACACGGGGCGCAGAGAAGAATAAAGAGTATTGTTTTTTGAGATGTTACCCGGTTGCCAAAACCGAACTGGCAGGTAGGTTTTAGTGACCGCGCCTGGACACTTCGATCGAAGAACCTAACCCACAACGCAGTGAGACGAACCAGCGAGCCCGCAATTCATCTGGAGCCGATGCCATGCCCTTTAACTGGCGTGGGATGCCCGGTGCCGGTGAACGCCAAGTAGGTTAACCAAAACTGTTGTCATGTAAGGAGCTGAATGACGACTGATTCGTCACCCGAATCGCCTCCTGTATAGCAGTCGGTGTTTCGTGCTCACATATGGCTTGTCAGATTATTAGCAAAGTATGGTTTGATCCTTTTGTAATAATTATAGCGAGATGGCATTTACAAGTCAGCTTCATGAGATGATCCAGTTTTACCCGATCGGCTGAACGATGATAATAATGGTCAACTCAACCATTACCGTTAAGACGTTGCAGTCACAACTGTATCGCTGCAGTTGTTGATAAGCACCTTCAGATATTACCTTGACAAGTTCATGCCGAGTCACCAAATACTGTGTTTTTCAGCAGCTACTTATTACAGCGGGCCTAAAACTTTTTCTGGCAGCATCCTCTGGTCACCATCCCACCGATGGCTGTTTGGATGTTGATGTCATCTCCAAGTCATGCAAGGTCAACCGCTTTCATCTTTCACCCTTTGCTTCTTCCTCCAGCTTTTAGCGGTGTTCACAGCCGCCTGTCTAACTTCAATGGCAAAGGACCCTGGTCTCTTCTTCCAGTTTGAGTCAAGTCCAGGTTCAAACACGCGCTCTATATATCCACTTATCAGCTTAACACTTCACACAAATCCGACGACCTCACCACTTCGATGTACTGTGAACAGTTCAGTTGATGGCACTGATGACTCCTGCATACTGTCTCGGTTGACTAGTGATCACTGGCATTCTGTTCTACTAAACTACACACCCCATGTCTCTACCACAGCCTCCACTTCTATTGCCAATCAAATGACTGATATTTTATTGGTTTGTGGTGGTTAGAGACTTTTGTTTCCTCATGTGCTCCTTTGAGTGTCTCATCAGATAAGATTTTAGTATATATACAGTGCTACAGTACCCTTACTGGGTTGTCGTCTGTATTTCATGGAATATGTTGGGGTGTTCCCAGAAAAATGGTTTCGGCATGGAATCACACAGTACGTCCTTTGAACCACATGTAGCACACTTTGAACTCGTGGAGGTTACGGGCGCACTTTTGTGATCACGTAGGCGGAACTTTTCGTAGTCTCACACCATGTTAGTGGTTCTACCTGACTTGGCTTGATGGGGATTGCGTGCCTTTGTTTGACGCCATTTTCGAACTACACTGTTATCCACGAAAGCTCTGGTCGGTTTAGGAAAAATGTAGCCAAATGATTCACTTCAACTTTGTTGGTGCTCAACGGATCAAGTTATCACTTGGATACAAGTGTGCATGCAGACCACGCGCCGCTGCAGCTGACTAAATTGATTACAGCACTCCACTTCCACGAAGACACTGAGGGATTCTGTGTTGTCGCCTCCCTGACGTAAACATCAGCTATTGTAGCTTTCGTGAAGTCAGAGTAATTTCTTCGACTTCATATGAAGTGATTGCTCATATCGGTGATTGGCGCAAACCTGCATAACGGCTGTCAGCCCCTGTTCTCCAAGTTATTTAGAACTGGCGGTTATCTAGCAAGTTATCTCGGAGGCATATTTTTATAAGATTGAAAATATTGAAAATTGTTTGAAACTCCGGGCTATTGATTCTTCTGCTGTTTTACGTTAGGTCACATCACAGTTGTGATGTGTTTCGGCTAATGGTGCATATTTAAGGCCAGTGTCGTCCGCGTTCGTGATTTTCAGTCCACTAATAGGTCTATGTCAACGGATAGTTTCGTTTTGGTTAGTTTAATAAAACCTTTTGGGAAGCAGACGGTGTCTTCGATTTTGGAGAGATCGTTTTCTTCAGGGGGGCTTGCCGTGTAGAATAACGCAATGCGTAAAAACGCATCGCTGTGGTAGAATTGCTTCTTCACGGGGGGTGGGCGCTGACTCGTCTGCGATTTTTATGTCCAATGATTGATCCTACAAATGTCCTAAGGAGGCATAGTTATGACGCGCGCCTTCGAGGTTGTAATTTCACATTTCTTTCTCTTTTTTACGAGATGCGGACGTGAGTCCTTGAAATTGACAAGGATTTAGGCCGTTGTTTTCCGTTTCCTCACGATTGCGTTGGCGACTGCGACAACCACATTATTCTATCACTGCATTTTAATTATTGATGTGACAGTCATTTGCGCAGTCTAGGCACACGCAACGCGTTTTGTTTCGCTAACCAGTCGCAAGTTATCACTAGTTCTCATTGTATGTTAGGTATGTTTGTTCGTAAGCTGAATCATTCTCTAGGCATCGGCATGCAGTCAAACGGTGTTAGCATTGGGTGGAGTGCGCATTGAAAGTGAATGGTTTGCACCCCGTTCTATGCCACAGGCAGTTAATCTTGAACTGCTCTAGATGCTGAACGGCTGACCTAGCAAATGAACTGATTTATTTGGCACAGATCAATGCGCATAAGCTGTAACCACGCACCCTTCACTACTCTAGCAGGTCTGTCATTGTCGGTTGCGCCTCTGGTTGTTTCATAGACTCCATCTGAGAGGACAGATCCATGTCGGACGTTAGACCCAGGCTCAATGATATCGAGTACACTGACTCCGTTTTATTTGGGGCGCTACTATGCTGGATGATCTTGCAGTCACAGATACACTCACAGGCGGCTTGGCTCTCACGAAAATATGATTTGCCTACCGTTTAGCTAAACTCATCTAAGTCATGATCCTATGTTCTAGTTCAGTTATCTTCAACCGTTATTGTACTGGGGACGTCCCAACGTATAGCATCATGGGTTTGTTGCTGCCCGAGCCAAGTGAAGTTCAAGAAAAAGCCTACTGATTTAGTGAGATAGTTTGCTTGCAATGTTTATGACATTAACAGTTCAACGGTGAGGAACTATGAATCAGTAACTCATGGCACCCGTTGCGCTGTTTCCACCAGTTCTGAAATCAAATCTTTGAGGGACGATTTTCTTCCCGAAATATTACCATATCCAAAAGTCTCGGAACAAAAAGTTGTTTGCTCGACGGGAGTTTTTCCTCATTTATGGGCGCTTTTACTTCCAAATAGTCCCCTTTAAACAAACGATACTAAATGGGAACGTGGATCTCACAATAAGTCATAACAAAATGAGAGCCTATTTCTGACTTCCCCATAGATTGACAGTCACTGTCCGAGGGGGGTAGCACTGCAGTGTCATTTATATATGCGCTGTATCAGCTAGAATACTTGGGAGTTGGACTAAAGTCATAACATCAATTAATATGTTGACCTTCCGATTTCTGTGATCCCCTTCGCTATGGGATAAGTGAGCGTAATTGTCACAAAGGAGTATCTACGTTGACGTAGCTGATGTTGGCTTTAAAATTGGGCTCTTTACTCATGGGTTCTCAAACAACTCCGCATGTCTAACCATGCAGCCCAACCGATGGATGAAAGTATTCATTTTTCCAGGACGGCTAGGTGTACGAACTACTCCGGTAAGAGGAGCACTAAAATCCTACGATAGACATTTCGAACGTTGCTGCTTCGGTTTTTGTCGTTGCACAAGACGTTAATATCTTTTACTGACAAGGACGGACATTTTCCAACTTAATGGCCTTTGAGAATGTGTATTTCATGTTGTGGTCACACTAACCTTACAAGTTTTGCCAGCGTCACCGAGGACTTGGGCACAGTATGCGTCATCCTTGGTATGCTTCTGATAAGCCGCGTTCAGACAAAGAAGAAAAAAGAAAAGTTATATCTTCGGTTTATAGCGTACTCGTACCCACAAAATACTATTTTTCTCACATTGACCTAATCCAGAAGCCCGTACTCAAAGTGAATGTTTGAATTATGTGAATACAGCTAGTCTCATAGTATGGTTTTAATTCCTGCATCGCAGTTCACCGTTGTATGAAGTCAAAGGCTCCGAAAGGGTCCATTTAGCTGTTCACTAGCGTTATTGGATGCACAACTACCGCGCATTTGAAACTGATTTCACGGAAGAGCAGCCAACGAACACCATCAGCCATGAAATTCGAATCAAGTTTGAGTATTCTGATATCCTGGACAGTGAAATTTCTGAATCAAGGCGAAAGCAACTACCGTTCAAGGTACCAGATTTTTATGATCAACTTATATCTTCAACATCCAGTTACCTTCCATCCTAAATCTTTCCTCTCGTTTTACTAGATAAGTGGATGAAACAACCCAATAAATCTCAGGCGTGGATGTTCATCTTTCAACAACCTACTCAACTTGGTCATCTAAGGCCATTTTATTAAGTATTCTGACCACCTGACCGTCATCAGTTAGGCACGATCCACCGGTCGGTTGATCACCTTGACGAAGCCACATGGTGTTCTGCTGCTGTTCTGTCACGTGGCAAGTTTAGGCTGACCGGTGTTTGTTTCATCATACGGTATGTGATCTAGAAATCTAGTCCGGTCGCCGAATCCCCTTCATTTGCTAGGCTGCATGCCTTGGTTGGCGTAAAACACGGTTGAAAAGTTGGCCATCAAGCGGCCGCCGATTTGTTTGCCTAGTTTGGCTAGTAACCTGCCAACATTTCGTCCACCCAGGAGATATAATCATTGCACGGCTGAATGACGTACCGATCCGTATCGATAGTCGTTGGTGCCGAGCGGACCACCAATGCTTTGTCAAAAGCCGCTTGTGAAATCTGACATTGCAGATTTCTCAGTGAGATAGTCTCCGAATACGAAGGAGGGTAATTACTCCCAAAAACTGAATTGAAGCCTGTGTCGATTGAAACCAAACAATCATCAATGATCCAAGGTAATGGCTATTTCCATAGAAGAACGTATACAACGCCGTCAGCCTCGATAGCCTTAACATTTTCTACCATGGCTAACCTTGTCCCGCAACGAAGAAAGCTTTTTTCCGCCCGTGGAGCAAACATCGGTAAACGTTCCACAAATGGTGACGAGAGATGCACCTATTCAGTTGTTTGTATCTACTGGACCGCGTCTACGGGCGCTAGGTGCGCGAACTTTTGCCTATGCCATATGGGTGTGTTTTCGGCTGCCAAATTTTCAGTGGACTATTGCTCGCGGCGGACAAGCTGGAAACAAAATCCGAGTCCGAAATGATACGTACGTATTCAAACTTGTTGATCCCCGCGGACTCAATCAAGCAATAACACTATCCAAAAATTTTGTGGCCGAACCCAAATCAACGTCCGCAGGATAAATCAACTCGGGCTCATTGTCAGCGAACCAGAAGTCTTTCGTGCTTTTACACGTTATCCTCAGACCCCAAGTGAATGAAGTCAGCTGAGAGGCACGGCGCAGTCACATTGTAGTAGCTGCTTCGGTGTGTCAGAGCTGGCGCGTGTGCGTGTCCGTTCGTCGTCCCACCATCGATCTGACGTGTGGCTTGAGTGGCTGATTGGATGCGTGTCCGATTGGTTGGCTCGCGTGAGCGCTGTGGGTTGACTGGATATGTGACCCAGTCGTTTTGCTTACCTGCCACGAAGGCGGACCAGTTTGGCCGCGTGTACTCGGTACACCCGTGTCCGTACTTACGTGTTCTTCTGACTTACTGTGAATTACAATACTGGCGAGGGTCTGACGAATCCATTTTACCAATATATATATATATATATATATATATAT